CTACAAGGGAAACCAAATTATACTAGCTTTCAGTATAAGATTATCCATCACTACCTGGCTACAAATAGTTGGCTAAGAAAAGCAAATCTGGTACAAACGGATCGATGTAACAATTGCACAGATAAGCACACTATCGAACATTTATTCTTGTATTGTAAAGAAGCAAAAAAATTTTGGAAAGAGTTCTGTTACTGGTGGAAACGATGTACCAAACAAGACCTAATTGTAGACGAGAAGATGATTATTTACGGTATAATTGATAACCCTCGCCATGTTAGTACACTTGCACACTGTCTTCTTATCGCTAAATATTGTATATACACATGTTTCATAACAAACTCTAAACCAAAACTCTCAATCTTCAAGCACAGACTAAATCAAATTATAGAAATAGACGATAATGAACAATGGGAACATTTTATGTGATATCATTATATATAGACAATCCTCAGATAACGTTACCTTAAAAAAACTGCCCTTGATGTATCATCCCACACGATTGTACATGTATGTCAACTATGTATATCTTTTTAATGTAAGATTGTGAATATAAATAAAGTTTGAAAAAAATTTAAAAAAAACAAGTTGTTCCATGAGGGAACTTACCATGAATTTTCAGTCGATCTCGTCAACCTTTTGTCAGATATATATAATGCACTCTCTAACACCACAGAGGGGCTTTTATTCAAGTATTAATTTTGTCTTTGTTTTCAGGTTTGCTTTTAAAGAGATAACAATTAGGCAACAAAAATGCGTCCTGCTCCTGCTGGCCATGATGGTTTTGATAGCCATGATTAACATGAAAGATCCTGTGGGTCTTTATTATAACCCACTGACACAGGAAACACTTGTCAGGTAGGCCTATAAGAAATTATGTAATTTATACGATTGTGTTTTTTTTTCATCTTGTATATCGACCCATAGTAAAATGTTGGTGCTATTGATGCGTATATTTCCGATAGATTCGGGATAAGGTGTAGTGTAACATGGGTTACTTGACTACTAGGTTAATTGTAGGTTATTAACACATTCATAGCTTGGCTATACAGTTAAGATATTTAGTATGTTTGTAGGTCTTAGGAAGAGAAAGGACAATGTCAAATATAGGGCCTCCCGTTTGCTGATCTTGGTACTGCAGATAAACTTGAACATATGCATGCTATGGTCTTGGAATCTTGGTGACAGGTAGCTATTTCTGTCACGAATAATTGGTGTAGGTTTTGTCCCTCTAGCAACGTGCTCTAGAACTTTAGGGTAGTTTCTGACGAAATCGTGTTTGGCGGATGAGTCCAAAAAGGAAAAAAAAATATTTTCTACATTTATATGTAGGTAGCTTATACAAAGATGAACACAATTGAATGCAAAATATGCAAACAGAGACCTAATTTGCATAAATAAGGAGGGAGTTCTGTAATAACAGTGTTTTACATAAAAGTACTTTTATACATGTGATGTAATTTAAGTCTTTCCCAGGAGGTTTAGCTGGTGCTTGGTGATCCTCTGGCTGATCGGGACCTGGTTTGTTATGTAGCGTACTGCTTCGTTGGTGACATGGTCCTGCCAACGGATGCCTTCAATCTTTCTCAGGCACTGGGTGTCGAAGGAGTCTAGCTTCTGTTTGAGAGACCTGGTGAGAGTCCAAGACTCGGCTCCGTACAGGAACGCTCCGTAAAGTACGTTTATACGAGTAGTTACCCCCCCAAAACCCTCTGTCGTCCATTGTTATAGACAGTTTAGATTCATATCACTGCCAGTTTTTTAATGCATGCCTTTGATTTTCATGATTCGGGTTCCACAGTAAAAGCCTGTGTACCTAATCATTTTCTCTCCTGCAGTAACCAATAAAACGAAGGCTTCTTTAAGTGTGTGTTGTTTTTAGCGTTTGTCATATTGTTATTTGACGTTTGTATCCTCTGTTATATCAGTCTTTTTTGTTTCATGTCAGGAAGAATCATTCTTATTACAAATGGGTACCCGGGGAGTTAGCTGCTACGAAGAAGTTCAAGGCCGACCAGAAAGCCGTGCAGTCCATACCCACAGTTACACCTGGGTGGGTCTACAACAAGACAGCTGCTGATTTGTTTCGGTAAGAGACGCGTTTTTAAAACCTTTAACCATGAGTTTCATTGCAAGGTCAGCAGCGGGCTAGGCAGCTGACTAGATGACCACAAATCATAATGCATACATTTACAAGAGTTCCGAGGTCTCATACCTCCATAAAATATGGGCTTGCTTTATCTTACTTCATTTCAACATGTCGTCATTAATTATGCAAATGACCTCGAAATTAACCTTCTTTGGAGGTGTTGCTGGCAAAATGGCTGGGTTTTTGCATAAGTACAAGTCCATATTCCATCCTTTGCACTTTGCACAACACAGTAAAGTGACTTTCTCCTTCAAACCCATATCAGAGGCTTTTGTTTTGTCTGAACTTTCTTCCATGAAAGGAAACAAAGCCACTGGTCTTGATGGGCTTAACTGCAGACTCCTCAAGATTGCTGCCCCTGTTATAGCACCTTCCTTGACCAGCATTTTGAATGCTTCCCTGAACACCTCTGAGTTCCCTGCAGACTGGAAGAAAGCGCGAGTTGTCCCTATCTTCAAAGCTGGAGATAGAACAGACACTGGTAATTACAGACCAGTTAGCATTCTTCCAGTAATATCTGAAATACTTGAACGTGCAGTTCATCAGCAAGTCTATCAGTTTCTGACTGAGAATGACCTTCTCTCTGCACGGCAGTCTGGGTTTCGCAAAAAACATTCAACCCAAACAGCTCTTCATTTAGTCACAGAGGAATGGTATGAAGCAGTAAATCATGGTAAAATCACTGGTGCAGTCTTTGTCGATCTGTCAAAGGCTTTTGACACCATTGACCATAACATCCTTCTGCAAAAACTCAGTGCCTTTGGAATCATTGGCTCTACAGCTAAATGGTTCCGATCGTACCTCTGTGAGCGATCTCACTGCACAGTTGTTAATGGACAAACATCCAATTTCTGTAATGTTGATTGTGGAGTGCCGCAAGGCTCCATTTTGGGACCGCTTTTGTTTGTAATGTATGTAAATGATATGCCAAAATGCATACAGCACTGCAAAATTGCTTTATATGCTGATGACACTGTGGTATACTTCAGCCATCCTGACTTAGAAACCATACAAAGGGCTCTTCAGTCTGATATGGACCGTCTTCATCACTGGTTTGTGGCTAACTGTCTTTCTGTCAATGCCAAGAAGTGCAAAGCCATGCTTATTGGCACACGGCATCGGCTTAGGGGAAAAGACCAGTTACAAGTATTAATGAATGGAAACCCCCTTGAAGTAGTCCCGGCTTTTAAATACCTTGGTGTAATTGTTGACAGCGAACTGAAATGGGATTTTCATGTTATTCATGTTCTGTCTAAACTAAAACGCGCGCTTGGAATAATGCGTCAGGTCCAACCTTTTGTCACACAATCTGCACTTGTCACCTTGTATAACACCATATTTTTACCACACTTAACTTATGCCTGTACTGTCTGGGATGGTGCCATTTCGGTACAATATGATAAGATGCAAAGAATGCAGAACCGAGTAGGAAAATTGATCTTGAAAGCCCCGTACAGAACACCATCACGGGAAGTCCTCTCTCGTCTGGGATGGATGTCCGTGAGAACTCCACACCGTCAACATAAAGCCATTCTAGTGTATAGGGCCTTGGACAATTCTTTACCACCTCATATGCGAGGGGTGTTCATCCGGTATAGAGATGAAGCCTCCAGATCCACCAGACAGAGCACATTGGACAACCTCATCATACCGAGGCCCCAACTGGAAGTGTACAGGCGGTCACTGAGGTACTCGGGGGCGACTGTGTGGAATTCCTTGCCACCACATGTACGAGCAGCCCAGTCATTGGGAACATTTAGAAGTATGACAAGGAACTTGGACTGATAACGGACTGATGATTTGCTATTTATTTTTGTATTATATTTTGATTTGCATTTTGTTTTGATTTTGTATTATATTTTGGTTTGATCTGTAATTCCGTGACCCCGCCCTCACCCTCGACCTTGTTGAAAAGCGGTATGTACCGAACAAGCATTCGAGATTAAATAAAGGCTTACTACTACTACTACTACTACATAAAATTCCCATCATTCACCAATAAGGAGTCACAGAATTTTTACATTAATTATGCATAATTGGTATCTGTTGATGTTCTGCCTGCCACAGATTAAATAGATTACATGTATAGTAGTATTATTATATAAAAGACTGTAATTATATAATTTAGTCCTTAATTATGCAAATTAAGTCTTCATTTGCATAATTTGCAGTTAATTATGTACAACTCTCTCCTAGCTACCTACACACCAAAATTGATGAAAATACGTTGTTCGTATCTGGAGTTATTGGCTTTTAAAGGTTTCGCCAGAAAGTCCCCTGCAGGTCCAGAACAATCTGCTAAGGGGACTAAATTCACACCACTTATTTTTGACAGAAAAAGCTATTTGTCACCAAAAAGTCAAGACCATAGCATGTTCAGGACAAAAGATACAAAAACCGAAAGTTCTGCTGCAGTACAGAGATCATCTACAAGGAGGCCCATATTTGACCTTGACCTTTCTCTTCCCAAGACGTACCAGCATACCAAATATCGTCACAATCCATAAAGGCGTTATGAAGTTATGCTGACCACAAAGTTGCGGAAACACACACAGACAGACATACGGACAGACACGCCAAAACAATACCTCCATTTTTCATGGAGGTAAAAATGGGGTCGTGTGGCGTAGCGGTAGCGGTCTCGGCCCAGACTTGAGAGGGCGAGGGTTCAAATCCTGCCCGATGCCATCGATCTTGTGCCCTTGGGAAAGGCACCTTACACGACTTTCCTCACTTCACAGTTGTGAATGAGTACCTAGCTTTGGCTAGGGACGTCCCTCGGATAGGACGTTAAATAGAGGTCCCGTGTTTGGGAGAGCTACACCCCACGCACGGTAAAGAACCCACCGCACTTATCTAAAAGAGTAGGGGACCTTCCCGGTGTAAGTGGTTCAAACCTTACAGTCTGGTCTCGGGGTTGACATCTTTGAAGAGGTGATAGTCACCTGTTATGTCAATTCTTCCAAAAATGTTGTAAATCGTCATAAGGCCATGTTGATTTGATTATATGGATGACATCCGCGCGCATGAATTTTCGGCCGTTTCCAAAAAAAAGTTTTCAACCATAGTGTAGATCGTACAAAACACTTGCAAAATGAGCAAATATATACCGTAAGTTGCAAAAAAAAATATTTGAAAACGATACCAATGTCGTAGACTCTCAAAATCAAATGAAACAAACGAAAATGTGAAGAAATGAATTTGAAGATTAGATTATTCGTCAAACCACATGATGAAAGCAACTTTTTTTTTTTGCTAAACTTTTTTTTATTCGCTCGCTCGCATCAGTTTTGGGGTTTCCAGAGGATGTCATCCATATAATCAAATCAACATGGCCTAAAATTAAAAAAAACAAATATTAATAGAACGCATATACATATATCAAAACAAAGATTAATATAACGTAAGTATGAAAAATAGCAGTACCTAACAAAAGAAAGAATAGCTTTCTTTTAAAAATAATTGGTGGTAAGTATTCAGGCAACAGAGGGGAGCAAGGGGCTAGTACCTGGCCTGTGCACATAGGAAGGTAGGTAGGTAGGCAGGCATTCAGACAACCACTATCAGACTTACCCAGTATTTACCGCTGTTGTTACGCAAATATTCTAAGCCGTGTCTGTCAGACTTACACGTTGCATAAAAAAAGTCATTTTGGATTAAGTTTCTGGATTGTCTGGATTTTATTTCTGAATTTTATATGAAGGGCTCAATCCAGAAATATGGGTTTACTTAAAGCATTACTACCCACAATGATTATACACTAGCCAACTCGATCAACTAAAGCAACCATTAGGAACCTTACGTGGCATATATCATCAGCAGTATATCCAGCATTTTAGAATCCATCCAGGTGCTCATGTAATGTATTTCTTAGGAATTTCTGCACTGATAATAAACATATCTTACTTCTATTCATTTTCTTGTATTCCACAGGAAACAGATAAAACACGGCAATCACAGTAAAAACGGATATTTTCTGACAACAGAAGAAACTGCACCATTGGACTTCATATTAAAGCACTATCAGTCTAAAACAACGCTAATGAACGTGTCTAGAGAAATATTACACCGATTTCCTAAAGTTGGTTTTCAAGAATTATTGTCACTGTATATAATGTAAAGAAAAATGATGGACAGAATGTCGTTTGACGAATAAGAAATATTTTGAATATCTTTAAACAATTTTACGGGATTACATATATCCACCATTATATAAAAATCGTCTAAGTAGATGTTAATTCTATGTTTTTGCTTTCTTAACCCTATCTAGACCGGGGGGGGGGGGGCGGGTTGTGCCGGTGCCAAATTTGATGTCACCTAGCGTCTGAACGGCTAGCACTAGAACGGCCAAACTTGATGACTTTTCCTAGAATATTGGTGGCAACAATTCTATGTCATTGGATTAAGATGATTTTTGTGTTGCCATGGCAACTTTTTTCTGACAGACATTTTTTGCTAAATTTAGTAATTTTTGCTTCAACAATAGAATGTTATGGGTTTTATGTCAAGTTAATTACACATGGTTTCTAATATCAATAACATCCCATATATAAATTTATGTAACTTTTATTATTAACCCTCAACAGAACACCTTCCCGGACTGATTAATCTGTACACCTGGGGTCCGCGCGGACCCCAGAACAGTTTTTTGCTAATTTTTAGAAATTATCAACATGCTACCAGCTCAATTGTTTTGCAAACTGATGTGGGAACCTCTGTGTCCACATTACATACAAAAATCATACATTTTAAACTTTTTCTATTTTTTGGTGAAGAAAAGAAGACAAGAAGAAATACCCGATTTTTAAACCCATTTCAGACTGAAGGGGCTTTTGAGGCCCAACTTTGATCTCAGATAGCGGCTAAACGGCTTGCGCTAGAAGTATCAAATTTGGAGACCTTTCCTAAAATGTCTCTGGAAAAAAGTTCATATTAGTTTAATACTAGTAAGTTGATGTTTTTTGTGTTGCCATGGCAACGGGTTTCTAGAAGGCAATTTTTTTGAAAATAGAAGTAATTTTGGTTTGAACATAAAAATTTTCTGAGTTTTATATTATATTACACTTCTTTTCTAACATTATTAACATCTTACATAATTAAATATAAGTTAAATCATTTAATATGCATAGAATATGCTAATTTGATGACATCATTGGTCAAAATCCAATATGGCGGACTATATTATTAGCTCAGACGTCATATGACGTCAGAATTACACCAAAGTTATTAAAATTTAATTCTATTACTACACCATTCTCTGAAAACTTGGTAGACATACGATGAGCGCATAAAAACATATAAAAACGGAATTAAGGCAATGTATAGGAACGCCAGTGTATCCATTATGATCGAAAGCCGGCTGGGGTCCGCGCGGACCCCAAAAGAAAATCATATATAATGTTTTTTTATAAATGGTAGAAACGGAGTTTTCTGCACTGTATTGAGAAACAACTTTGTGGGTGACAATTACCTAAAATTTCAGAAACAAATCTTTAGAAACAAAAAAGATATTACAGAATATATAGTGCTGGGGTCCGCGCGGACCCCAGGTGTACTGTTTAGGGTTAACAAAAATAATGTCAAAATTCTGTTTACTTTATTTTCACATAGGATACAAGCTAAGCATAAACCATCATACTTACGAAATTCTAACAAATCAGGAGCTTGTATATTTTGCGTTTTTTTTTATTTGAACTGACATCCTAGCGAGGAAGGGACAAATTATGCAAAACGTTTTTTTTTATCCAGT